TCAGATAAATACAATATAAAACAAATTTCCTGTCATTTCAAAAGTACTTGAAAACAAATCATCTAATCAATGGAGGAGAACAGTCTCAAAAAAGACCCAATTCACCTGAAAATTTAGTGTATAATAAAACCTGACTATTAAGTCAGTGGGGGGAATTATGGTGTTTCCCAATAAATGATGTTGGGATCATCCGCAGCTATTTGGAGAGAACGCAAGCTAGACTTCTCCCTTACTCTATCAGAATCAGCATCTACTTTCTCTATCTGTATATACATACTTCTTTCTGGTGAAAAATACACACTGTTAACAGTGGCTACTTCTAAGGAGACAGACTAGGGTTGGGTTAAGGGAAGTGAAAGGAACTGACATTTTTTTACCCTCCTCTACTGTGTGCATTTTCATTATTTGTGTGTATTATTTCATTTCTTACAAGTACAAAAATTTCAAAAAAATAAAGTGTATGTTCAAGACAATACAGGCAATTTCAATGTAATCAGATTTGCATTTGGCAATTTATGGTGTGTGTGTGCATGTGTGTGTTTTTAATAGTCCGTGGGCATTAAAACAAAACCTGTTTCTTTCACTGCAGGGTCTTCTCATAGCAGCATTAACTTGTTTCATCATCTCTGAAGCCCAAGATTCATTCATAGCAATCACAGTTCTGGAACTCTTCATCGTTATTTTATTTATCCTAATATATATGCTAACCCTTCACCACTTGCTGACTTATATACACTGGCCCTTACTTGTAAGTGTTCCTTTTCATAATTCAAATATAAGCTTTGCCCTCAGCCCTAGAGTAGAGGCCCTCTTTACGTGAAAACACCCAGAGCTCTCTCTCTGGACAAGGACATAGCTGAGCTCTGCCAGTGAGGGTGCTACCGATCCCCGGGGAGAAACTAGCCTTGGGCCCCTCTGTCCACAGGGCAACCAGCACAGACACCTGCTTCCACCTCACTATGGTTCTGAACATGTGGCGCTTCGCAGCTTGTCCTAAAGAAATTTTTAATTCATATAGTCAGGCAGCTCACGTTTCCTACCTATTGCTTGTAAAACAGACATGCTTCCACTTTTCAAACAGCACCCTCTCTAACAGGTTATAAACACGCCCCTTAAAAGCAGGAGCGGACACGGCACAGGTATAGAAAATGGTCACGCGTGCCCTGAAAGGTTGCAGGAGTCAACCTTTCCATGTGTGTTAAGGGTCCGTACTCCCCAAAGGGTGCCGGATGGTAGAGCATTCGGGAAAGGACATTACACGTTCTAGCTGCTTCGGCATCCCAGAGTCTTTAGCAACTGAAAGTTCCTGAAGCTAACCCCTCCGGTCTCAGATCAACGCTATGTATTGTGGAGCCTTGAGTCTGCAACCTCAGACTAGAGAGGGAATTCAGTTCTGTTTGGGTATAGACACGGGCCGAGTTCCTGGCTCTGTGAACGTCAGCCTCAGTTTCCCCATCAGGGAAGGAAAAGTGTGATCATCATCACCGCCTCACAGGGCTCCCGCGACACTTAAATGTGTTTAAAGCAAACTAGCACAACGCCCGGCACACAGTCAAGATTCATTACGAAGTGTCCAGCAGACCCTAGAAGGTTCTTTTCCCTCAAAGGGTGGCTTTTACCAGTTGAATTTGCACTGCGGTCAGTCCTCACTCTGAGCTCAGACCTGGTCCACACCCCGCTCCCTGACAGTACCATTCTCCAGCCTTAAGGTAGAATTGGTTGCCGTGGAGCTAAAACGCAAATGTTTTCTTCAAGTGTCTGAGGGATTCCCTGAAAAGGCTGCTGAGCTCTCTGTCCCACCCCCGCCCCGTGCTGAGCAACAGGAAGCAGGCAAAGCAAGCTCTGAGCAGCTCCCATTGGACACGTGAAGACCCTGTTAGTGGTGGAGAGTTCTAACCAGGGAGAGGTTTCCCGGGGGAAACGGAAATCTCTGTCCACGGAAATGTCCGAGAAGGGAAGGTAAAGTAACTTTCTGAGCACATGCCATGCGCCAGATACGTTTTCACGGGTGTCACCTTGTTTAATCCTCACAACAGCCCGATGAGGTTGTAGTCACCCCCAGGCCCCGTTTGACAGGGGAGAACATCGGACTGAAGGGTTGAGTTGCCCATGGTCATGTGTAGGCGTGGAAACTCAGATTGAACCCAGGTCTGGCAGACTCCGAAGCTCAGATTCTTCGGGGCGTTTTGCCCTGTTGCTTGTGATGGTTTCTCTGTTTCCATCCTCCCTACACCTTTGTTCTCCCCAGAGTCTCAGAATTGTATGTTCTCTGTATCTTGTCCTGTTTCCTCTTGGTTTCCTTCAGATTTGGAGCCAAGGATGGACTGACTGTCCTAGGGATGTGGTGGGGACAGGCCCTTGGGAGTGGTGACTGAGGGCCCCACAGTACCAAGGTCAGAGCCGTGGGCAGGAGGATCCGGTCAACTGCCATGAAGCTGGAGAGAGCCTCAAGGCCCCATGCCTGGCTGCGAGGCCCAGGGCGGGAGTCCAGGGGGTGTCTTAGGCAGAGGCCAGAGGTGGGTGTCCTAAGCATGAACCACAAAGGTCCTGGGAGAGGAGCTGTTCTCACAGTGGTCACGGGCAGCTCAGACCAGCTCTGTACCTTTAGCCTCTGTACCTCTGAACTCTGATCAAGCCAGGGCCCCTTTTGCTACCTCTGCCTGGGTGAGAGCATTCTCTTTCCTGTGGATGGCTCCGGGAGCCCCGAGGGCAGCTCCGAGGCCCTGGTTTTCCCTCGCTCCTGTCCGCCAGGGTGCAGGCCAGGGCCTGGACCAGCACGTGGATGTGCCTGGTGAACTCCCAGGTGCTTCATAGTTGGGAGACTTGGTCTTAGCACAACGTTTGCCCAGTTATTCCGATGCTCAGCTAACTAGCAGCCCACATACTAAGCAGCCACATACTAACCAACATAGTTGATCAGGTGGTGAGTGATCTAATTGACTTGGAAGGTTTCTCAAAACATCCACCAGAACAAGATCCCAAACTATTCTCTTCTCCTATCTATTCCTTTCCTTCCTAATCGGCCCTTTCAGATCCCATTAGATGAAGGACATGAATATAGGTGATTGCTCAGAGGATAAATAGCTCCCACAGGGGAGGCCTTGGCCCGATTTAAAATATGCGGGCCGAAACCGGTTTGGCTCAGTGGATAGAACGTCGGCCTGCGGACTGAAAGGTCCCGGGTTCGATTCCGGTTAAGGGCAAGTGCCTGGGTTGCGGCCACATCCCAGTAGGAGATGTGCAGGAGGCAGCTGATCGATGTTTCTCTCTTATCGATGTTTCTAACTCTCTATCTCTCTCCCTTCCTCTCTGTAAAAAAAAAAAAAATCAATAAAATATGCGGGCTTAGGGACGGTACGTACTGGTATCAGCCCAGGAGGTGACTAAGTGAAACTTCAGAGAGCAGGCGGACTTGGAGACAGGTTGGCATCAAGCTGCAGGAGTCACCTGGGACCTTTACGAAGGGTCAGTGCAGCAAGCCAGAGAACATGTGGCCCATTCACACTGTCACTGCTTAACCCCTTCCCCGGCAGAAACGTGTATACTCGTTTTCACAAAATGTTCTTTTTCAGTCGTCGACGAGTATACTAAGAAAATATGGTAAAAAAATATGGTTTATAGGAAGACGAGTTACAAACTGTTTTCATAACCAGCATCAAAAATACTATATAGAACCAAAATAAAAAAATTAGTCTGAAAAAGAAACGTTTTTAACAAAAAAAATTGTTGGGGAAGGGGTTAAAGCCCTGCCCACACACTACAGAGGTCCAGCTGGCCCAGCTGCCACTTTCTGCCCTTCCCTCCAGGCAAGATGGTTTAGTGCCCAGGGGGCAAAGGACCAGGGTGCAGAGCGCTGACTTTAAATATGTTTTTATTGATTTTTAGAGGGAGAGGAAGGGAGGATAGAGAGATAGACACATCATCAATCGGCTGCCTCCTGCCGATCTCCTCCTGGGGATCAAGCCCGCAACCAGGGCATGTGCCCTGACCAGGAATCGAACCGGTGACCTCTTGGTTCATGGGTCGACTCTCATACTGAGCCACACCGGCCGGGCAGGAGTACTGATTTTAAGTGTCCGACTCCTTACAGGCTCACAGGAAGAGAAAGTTCCTGGTTCCCTTATTCCCACCCTTGTTCGGTAAAGGGCTAAGGATGAGTCCCCAGCAGGGAGGTAGGAAGTCTGAGGAATTAAGACTGAGGCCCCCAGCAGGACAGCACCACAGAGCGCTGGCCTCACCTAGATGACCTACTGAGGTCTGTAGACTCTGGGGCCCGATTTGGGCAGGGGCTCCTTCTCTGGAGATAGGATGGAGCCTGGGCTTGGGGACCCACACCCCAGTCTCAAGTGCAGCTTCTCGCTTGGGTGAAGGCTGTGCCAGGGACCCTGACACCCCTGGGGAGGGTGCCGATCCAACTCTCAGCCAGCCCCTGACTCATCAGCACAGCTCTGAATGAGAGCGAGTCAGAATACAGCTTCCCTCATACCCGCCCCCCTCCCCAATGTGGAGTCACTCTCTTCATTTCTCAACTTCATTACCAATTTTAGCCACATCGTCTAGTATCACCTGTCAATATACCCAAGAAATGTATGAACTATAATCCCTGTCTTCTGAATAGCCTCTATTTTTAACACTTCTACATTATAAAAAATATTACCCAGTATGGTCAGAGAAACGGAGTCCTGGTCAAGCAGATGTTTTTGTCAGTAGAAAGCAATTTTTTTTAAAAAGAACATAATAAATATAGTTTCAAATAAAGCTCTATAGAAGCGATGATTCCTAAACCACCAGCAATGTCTTTACATTTAAAAGTGAGAGGCATCCGCTTTAGAATGTCTCCTTGAAGTAAGAGTCATGAAAAACACCGGTTCTGGCGATTTCTGACCAGACGCTGCCACCTGTTTGGAGAACTCCAGACACAAGTGGAACCAAGGAAAGCTGCAGCTAGTTGACCACCACCGAATGTTGACTGTGTACAAAATGCTTGTTACAAATTCCACATTTTGTAAAACAGATGTAAACGCTTGACGTTCTCTCTGACAGCGATATTTAAAAATAAGCATTGGACAGTAGAGCACCTTTTGCTTTCCCAGTTACAGTTGGACACCATTTTGTTTATCTCAGAGAACAGCCTGAGGGCTTTAAGGAAAATAACTGGCAAGTAACAAACCCGCTCTCCTTTCCCTCAGCAGAGGCTGCGGGGAGAGGGAGAGAACCGATGGTGAATTAGGATGGCATTTACAGGGAAAACAGCCAGAAGCCCTCCTGCATGTTGCAAGGCTCCGCTGCAATGTTACCCGGTCAAGGAGAACATATCTTTGCCAAGTACGAGGCAGGCCAACAAGAGGGTCTGTGGCTCGGGCCAAAAAAGGAAGTGGGGTCAGGAGAAGGACCTGGGCAATCAAGTCAGACGGCTGAGGGTCAGCGCCACTCACTGGCTGAACAAACCCCCCCCCCCCCCCCCGCAAGTGGCTTCCCCACGTGTAAATTGGGATAAGGGAAGTTTGTTGTGAGAATCAAATGAGATCATGTATTAACATCTTGGCACCGTATGTGACACATAGTAAGTGCTCAAGAAATGTGAGCTAGAGTAGAAATGTTGGGTACAAGGCAGAGATGAGCTCCAAGGGACAGTGGAGGAGAGTGCTTTCTTATGAGGAGGGATCACAGTAAACCCTAACACCCAGCCGTCCAATGAGGGGAGTGGGATCATGATGGGGAATCCGCGGTTGGCTGGGTAGGGCCAGTCTGCATTCGGGTTATTACCATTATCATGATGAATATACTTCCATCCAAGTTCACAATGGCCTATGGCCACGGCTAGTTAATTTTTATCTTAAAAAGTCTACACTCTACTTCTTAGTTATAAGAGTCTTGGTTCACATCTTCGAATACCTTAGTTTGCACAGTCCTCGGGTACAACACTGCACACCGCCGTACCCATCCCACCATAGCCAGCCCGATCAGCCAGCCTATAGAACGCACTGGAACTCACTTCCAACCCCCGTTACAGTGTTACCCGCCAGGTGCCCAAATAGTAGACATGAGTGCCTTCCGAGAAGCAGGTTCACATTTGACCCAAAAGCTCCTTGCTTGCCAATCTCAACAGGAAAAGCACCTGGCATTTGCTGAAAGTTTACTCTCTGTGCACATTTTGAGGACATATCTCACGAATCTAGGTGTTGATGCACTCCCACTGCCCACTAGATGCCAGGCACTGGCCTGCTGCTTTCAGATTCCTTATGCCATGTAATCCTCAGATCAACCCAACGAATCCCAATCATCAGCTTCATCTTAAAAATCAGCAGGCTGGCACAGGAGGGGTGAAAGCGCACGCTCCAGGTCACACATCTGGGAACTGGCAGGCCCAAAACGAGCTCAACAAATGACACCCGCAAAAAGCACTCTCACCGTTTTTGTCCCATCCATGTTGACCCTCGGTGACCCTTTCCACAGAAAATGACAAAGATGGAGGCTCATTTCCTTCCTATGGGGGAGTCCCTGATTCCACCCCTTGGCAGATACTCAATCTTAGGCAATTTAATAAACCCTCTGAGCCTCCGTTACAGCCGCACCATGATACTGACTGTGCAGGAATGAGATAATGACTGGGAAGAGCTTGGCACCTTGAAGAGCCACTGTGATTCCATACACTGGATGGCAGGCTCCTTGCTCTACCTGGGCAAGTACACCAGAAGGGTTGATACTATTAAGTCAGGCCACTTTAAGACTAAACATGTTCAAATTAGATATCTGGGCCATACCATGATTCCATCGCCCTGGGCTGTTTGCCCTCCCCACAAACTGGTGCCACGGACACATGGAGCACCTTCTTCCATTATTGCTCCACCACCAAAGCCCAGCCCCTCCTTATACTCCGGGCTGTGGCCCCACCCATTCCTCCTCACCCTTTATTTAGCAGTTAGAGAACCCAGTCCTGAAATCCAGAAGGAAGGATGTTGGCACAGATGTCAGGGCAGGCTCAACTGTGGCCATGTCTTAGGGAAGCGCAAAAGTCAACAACAGCACGGGCATTCACTCCAGAATATCGGGCCTGCTCCCCAGAAGGGTTCCTGCCTTCTCAGGACGTGTGAACCTACAGACTAAATATGACCCAACTTCTAAAGGATCAGTTCTACCTAAAGATTTGGGAATGGAATTAAATCAGTAAAGTCCTAATCCAAAATTTTAATTTTTGAAACATTTTTATTTATTTCATAGAGGAAGGGAGAGGGAGAGGGAGAGATAGAAACATCAATGATGAAAGGGAATCACTGATCAGCTGCCTCCTGTGCACCGCCCCCCCCCCCGCCCCCACTGGGGATCAAGCCTGGAACCCGGGCATGTGTCCTGACCGGGAATCGAACGGTGGTTTCATAGGTCAATACTCAACCAGTGAGCCACATGCGCCAGGCCTAAAATTTTATTTTTATATTAAAACAAATGTATTGCAGAATAGAATTCAGAATTAATTTAAAATATAAGGCTTCAGAAAATCATATTTTTGGAAGACCCATTTGAGCTAGGCCCCCAAGCCTCTCGGTTTTTTCATGCTCACTTTCTGTGGCCTTTAAGAAAAGTCTGATGGAAGAGTTGTCAGCTTTTATTTTTTTTAATGGTGTTCTTTAATGAAATTAGACCCATTTCTGCTGACAAAGTCCTATCCAGGACCTTAAAATCACATAAACTCGTGTCTCTGGAAGATGTAAGAATTATGCTGCTGGGGGTTCCTCTTAATATTAATCAGAGGGAACTTTTGCAACAGACATCCATCCCTAGATAGGCCACTGACCAATTTAAATATTTTATGAAATTACATTTTCATGTCAAGGTGATCGTTTTCAATTCTGTATTACAGGATCTTATCAACAGTTTCATTACAACTGTGTTCCTTTTAGCAGTCGCCATCTTGACAATGCAAGAAAAGGAAAGGAGGTATCTATTCTATGTCGGAGGGGTAAGTAGAGGCCTCTGCGACTCCGCTGTAGTTGAGTATTTCACGGCTCTTGAAAAAGGAGAACTGGCACACCTTCCTTATTTCAATTACAGGACACCCTCACCACCACCCCTTCTCTTTCCTGCACCAAGCGCTCCAGAAGATGTGAAGTTACACAAATTCTCAGCTCGTGAAAATCTCCATTCTAATACCCATCCTCCAAACGGGGAGGAAAGCAAGTCGTTGAACCCCTTTTGAGAACCGTATACACCAGTGGTGGCGAACCTTTTGAGCTCGGCGCGTCAGCATTTTGAAAAACCCTCACTCAACTCTGGTGCCATGTCGCATATAGAAATTTTTTGATATTTGCAACCAGAGTACAACAAAGACGTATATTTTTGATATTTATTTTATATATTTACATGCCATTTAACAAAGGAAAATCAACCCAAAGAAATGAGTCCGCGTGTCACCTCTGACACGCGTGTCATAGGTTCGCCATCACTGGTATACACTATTTTTTCAACCATTGCAACAGGATATTCTTGCCTATCAATAGGACTTTGACTTTTCTGGCTGGACTGGAGAATATTTTAAAAGCACGTGAAAAGAATGATTGTAGGGTGAGGGAGGAGGGAGTGCATTGTCAAAAGTGAGTGACCCAGCCTATTCAGGACGGAAGGAAAGAAGGAAGGAAGGAAGGAAGGAAGGAAGTTAGTTTAAGGGGGGAAATTACTTCCCAGCATCCAGCAAGTGCCCCACCCAAAGCTAGGCTTGTTTGTCTGTTTTGTTAATCCTCACCTGAGGATATTTTTTCAGAGAGAATGGAAGGGAGGGAGGGAGAAGGAGAGAGACACAGAGACACATCCATCAGTTGCCTCCCTCATGTGCCCCGACCCGACTCAGGGCCAGGGATTGAATCTGCAATCCAGATACATGCCCTTGATCAGGAATCAAACCTGAGACCCTTCAGTGGGTGGACTGGCGCTCTAACCATTGAGCAACACAGGCCAGGCCAAGGCTCTGCATGTTTGGACTCAGTCTTTACAACTCTCATTTGTACAGATATGGCACAGGCTGGGATAAACTGAGACGTGGGTCCTCATATGAAGGGCACTCAATATGGCAGAGTAAATGCTTGGAAGATGGTGGGGGTGTGGGGAGGTGAGACTTTGGTTTAAGAGATTAAACCACGGGAAGAGAAATTAATCCCCCCCAAGAAGGTTGAAGTTCTTTGAATTCATTCCATAATCAGTAAACATTAGCCAATCCCGTTGGACTGTGCCAGGCCTGAACTCTGTGTTGGGGATAGAATCCTTTCCCCGCAGGGGAACTCGCAGATTAGATGGGGCAAGAGCCACCTGGGAAAAGTTCATTTATGCAGCCAGGGATGATGTGGCCAGAAAGAGAAACATCCAAGGCAGACAGGAGCTGGTCCCCATTTGCTAACTCAGCCACCACGTCTCCTGCCACCTGCCAGCGGCTCCTAGCGCCTGGTCTCCATAAATTCTTACCTGGATGGCAGGAGACCCCACCGCCTCCCACTGGGCCCCCTGCCCCCAGCCTGGGTCACTGGCCAGTCACCCCTCCATTCAGCAAGAGGGCTTTCTGAGTCCGACCCCCACCTCTCCTCCCTCCACCTCTCTAGAGATCTCAGCCACACCAGATTCCCCGGAGACCTCAGCCCAGTACCTGTTGCTCTCCTCGCAGCTGGTCCCCTTAGGAACCCTTTCCTGCCCTTTCAAACTTAAACCAGGAGTCCTGTCCACGATGGGCCATCTCTGGGCTCCAACCCCACCGGGGCCTCCTAAGTCCAGTGTCCTTCTCTGGTCCTTTCCTAGTGCCTCGTGAGTCGGATGAGATCGTTCGTGTCAGCAAAACCCTCCATTTCCAAAATTCCTTTTTCTGGGAACGACAGAAAGGGTCGCAGCCGGTGGCGGAGGGTCAGAGAGGGGACAGGCGGCCCCCCGCATCCCGGGATGGGGAAATGGAAGGCAGGCGGCTCCTGAGCTGCAAAGTGACCGCACCTTTCCTTCCCGCACATGGTCTTGTCTCCGACAGTCCCTGTGTCTCTCGGCGGCAATCGTGTGCCTCGTGGACGCGACCCTGGTCACCAAGATGGTGAGGCAGGCCATGAAAAAGGCCCTGGGCTTGGAAGGCCAAACCACACCCTCTCCCGCGGAGACGGAGACGGCGGAGAAGGCGGCGACGGCGACAGCGACGGCAACAGCGACAGCGACAGTGACAGCGACAGGGACGGCGGCGGCCGGGGAAGAACCCACCCAGCAGCCCACCCCCCAACCTGACAAGACGCTCAGCCCTGCAGCCTCCACCGTGGGGCCCTCGCCGGCCAAAGAGGTAAAAAAGTAAAGCATGAATAAATGAAAGACTGAATGAATTGTTATACAGGATGGGGAAAAAGTAGGTTTACAGTTGTGAGTACATGATTTATTTATTAACTAG